GTGGATTTCGCGGTTTGCTATATCCAAGAGGCTTACGCCTACGCCATTCCGCCGACCCTCAGAAGAGGATACAGTCGGGGCCCTGAAGAAGGAATCCTTTTCGTTGGGGAGGGGCTACGCGTTCCTCAAGTGTTTCGCAGCCTGCCCTAGGTTTTCCTTATGTTTCCGACAGGAAATCGAAGTTTAACTTATGGAAAAGGGGGGCCTCGTTCCTTATCTAGGGTTCCTTAGGTCAACGCCCCGACTGTATGAGCGGCCTCCGATTTCGTGTGCGCTGTTTGCCGCTCCCCGCCGTCCTGCCGGCGCGCAGTTGCTGCTGGCCTGTCCTCCTTTCTCCCCGCGTCCGTGGCGGGGATCCTCGGGGCCTCTCGGAGGCCTTTTGGGGAGGCCCTCCTCGGGCCTCTTCGAGGAGGAGGCGGCGGAGGAGGAGGAAAAGGAGGAGGAGGAGGGAGGAGGAGGAGAGGAGGAGGAGGAGGAGGAGGATGAGTGCGGAGGGGAGGAGGAGAATGGGAGAGGAGGGGGAGGAATAGTAGGAAGATGAGGAAGAGGCGAGGAGAGAGGAGGAGGAGCGGAGGATGGAGGAGGAGGAGGAGGAGGAGGAGGAGGACGAGAGGAGAGGAGAACAGAGTATAGAGGATGCGGAGGAGGAGGAGGATGATTGAAGAAGTAAAAAAGGCCATCTTGGATGGCCGGGAGTCCTTTCTGGCGCGTGGGAGCCCTTTTCTTGCGCCATCACGGACGGCCTCTTCGGCATCTCCCAGCCGACGCAGAGTGGCTTTGGTGGCTCCGAGGGTCCGGGAGGAGCCCTGGCGGGTTCCCGGCGGCCTCTCCCCCCGAGTTTCCGCCCCCCCCCCTCACCCTCCCCACTTCACCGAGCGCGTTCCGCTACTCGCGTAGTGCCTACTCGCAAGCGTCCGAAAAGCACCCGCGGCGGATCCAGGCCACTTGCGAGTAGTGGAACGCGCTTGTCTTTCATTGGATTTTGGACACCAGGGGAAGGGGACAGCCAAATGCAAATGTCACACTCTCCGTTTCACCCACGGCAATCGGGGGTCGGTGGATTCTTCAACCCACTTCATGTGACACCATCGCAGTTTTTGATTGTTGTTTACGTGTTTGCTTGCACTGGCACTTCCAAGCCATTTAGTCAGTTCTTGCATCGCAGTCAGCAGCTGCTTCTCTTCTGTAATATTTTCATTATCTTATGCCAGTGTACAATTTTCGAGCACTTTCGGCAGACTAGCGGCTTGCGCATTGGCCCACCCGCTGCGTCGGGGCAAAAGGTGCCATCGTTTGGTACGATTGGCGGCAGACAGGAGTGTCTCGCGATGTAGTGCAGTGCCATGTGATGCCGCGTAACGCCTTGAGTTGCCCCACCTAGCCCCTCTTCTTCAAGTCCTTGTAGCCCCTGTCGCTCTGGCTGCCTTCTTGCTGAATTTTTGCGCCTGTGGCAGAACCGCAGCCGTTTTGGTGCAAACTTCTGGCCGTCGGGCGCTCCGCAGGCTTTGGAGAAGCCGTCGCTCGCGCCCCGGGGCCGACCCGCGCCCCCCCCCCAAACCCGCAGCCCGAGACCGAGGAGGAAAGATCGGCACACACACAAAGTCACACAGTGAATGTTTTTTCTTATTCCCTGTGCTTCCGCTCGGCGCGGGCCCTCGCACCCTCCCCCCCCACTTCCCCCGTCCCCCTTGAGCAGCTCTTGGCTGTTTTTGGCGCCTGTTTCGAGCAGGCGGAGTCCTCCCCCACAGGACGCGCTGCTGCAAGCAGTCGCACGAAGCAGAGGTCTGGAGCCAGACCTCACCCCCCCTTCCGCCCAATGCCGAAACGCCGATTAAGAAAACGTTCACCATAAGCTTTCGGCGCTCCGTGCAGATTTCTTGGACCAGCGCTGGGCCCCCTGGCGTCGCCTCCGGCACTGCCCCCGACGCGCATTGCGCGCCAGGGAGGGGGGGCCTAGGGCTAATCCAAGGAATCCGTGCGGAGCTTCGAAAGTTCATGTTCGAGGGCAACTCATGGGAGCCTTGTATGTCGTCGCAATTCCGGCCTTGGAGTGCAGTTGCGTGCGCTAGCGGTTGGCAATCGACGGGAAGGCGCCGATTCAGCGCCGATTCGCGTCGATCTAGCGCCGATTAGCGTCGACTAGCGTTGATTCGCGTCGAGTAGCGTCGAGCGGTGCCGACTCGCAGGAGCCAGCAAGACGGCACAGGAGGCTCCCACGAGTTTCCACCGACTTTGTGCTCAGGCCGCATCTCTCTTCCTCCAGAGATGGACACCCCCAGCCGCCAGCCCGAGGTGGGCACCGAGGGCAGCGCCGCTCTGGACTGGAGCCCGCCGGCGCAGGGCCTCTACCGCCCCCAGGACGTCGGCATCACGCGAACACTGCTCGTGCAGCGTGCGTGCGTCGCTAGGCTCCAGCACAGCTGGCCTCCGTGCCTGCGCATGCTGTCCTTCAGCGAGCGAAGAACGGTATAACATAAACTTTTTCGCTGTCGGGGGCGCCTGTCCCTGGGCGGCTGGAAAATTTATACCCCTACGGTGCCACCGTAAGGGTATAAACTTTCCAGCCGCCCAGGGACAGGCGCCCCCGACAGCGAAACAGTTAATGTTATACCGTTCTTCGCCCGTTAAATCCTGTAAGACCTGGCATCGGGTGGCCTGTGGTATGCCCGCTGCAGCCCGGAGCCCCGCCCGCCTCGGCTTCCGCCCACTGCCTGGGGCCGTGCCCGGTGGCCCTTGCCCGTGGCCTGCGGCGGTGCGGATGTGCCTCGCGGACACAGTTCTCTACTTCGACGGCACGGTCCACCCGCTGCTCCGCTACTTGCTGCACACCGTCCCCGGTGCCCGTGGCCGCTTGCGCGCCCATCACTCGCCGACTCTCGGCGGTCGGGCCTCCTCCTCCCCCATCCTCCGCGACCGCTCTGCTTTTCCACTCGCCCCTTGCGCCTCGCGCCCAGCGCGCCCCGCCGGTCTCGACCCACGCGCCTGCGACCGCTGGCGCCGCCGATCAAGAAAACGCGCCGGCTCGGCTCAGTGGATGCTGGCGTGCCTCTGCGTTGGGCCTGCGCTGCCCTCGCCTCCGGCAGCTTGCGCCCTGCCCGCCTTCCAGCGCGCAGTCTGCGTTGCCTGAGGCCGCCTGCGCGCACCTCGCTGCGAAGATTCTCTTCGCCTGAGGCCTCCTCCGCGGCCGCCCTCCTCTCGTCCACTCGTGTAGGGTGCTTCTGCCCGGCGCGGCCCGCCAGCTGTTCGACCGCGTTTGCGTTCGCCCTCGGCCGCTGACCAGGAGTGTGTGCGTCGGCCCCCCTTTGGGGCGGCGCGCGCGTTCTCAGAAATCTCTGCGTGCGTGTTCGGTGGCGGGCGCTTTCCGGCCATACCTTCCCGGGTAGCGATGTGCTCTAGAATGTCTGCGCTCTCTATATGTTCGGTTCGGGCGTGCGCCATCACGGGGAGGCGCACAGTAGAAGTATGTGCGTTCGTCTGCGTAGCGGGGCCGCGATCCCGATCCAATTGGATTCGGCCCGCCCCACCAGAACTGGTAAGGCCAGCCAGAATCAAGTGCGGCGTATCGATGCCGATCCCAGTTTGGGACGATTTGTAGGCCATTTGATCCGTTATTGATCCGATCGGAATTCGCTGTTCGATCCAACTCAGTCGTGCCAGGATGAGAAGGACGCCTGCGGCGTCGGCATGGTCGCGGACTGCTCCGGCGTTGCGACGCGCCGGACCGTGACGGATTGCCTGCAGGTGCTCGACAACCTGGACCACCGGGGCGCACGTGGCTGCGAGGTCGAGACGGGCGACGGCGCGGGGATCTTGCTCTCGATGCCGGACATCGATGATGAAATTATTGGCGCAAACAAAAATGTTCCGCGATCCGCGCACAGTTTTTGGATCGGCATTCGGCCCCTGCCGCGCGGAGTGCGCCAGGGAGGTTGTCCAGCGCCGATCCGAGGAATCCGCGCGGACTTCGAAATTTTTTGGTCGTGCAGTCTTTGTTTTTCCAGGACAAGTTCTTCCGGCGCGTCGTGAAGGACTTGCCTCCCCTCCGCCAGTATGCCGTCGGCAACGTCTTTTTCGCGCCGGGCACCAATTTCGTCGGCGACGCCAAGCGCATCTTCGAGGAGTACGCGCGCATCATCGTCGGGCTTCGCTGCGTGGGCTGGCGGGTTGTGCCGACCTGCAACGAGGGGCTCGGGGCCACCGCCAAGAACGCCGAGCCGCACATTGAGCAGGCCATCGTGGTCGCCGAGGGGGAGTGCGCGGAGAACGAGGCCCTCTTCGCGGCGACGCTCTATCGGCTGCGTCGCACAGCCTCGTGGGCCATCAACAAGAGGTTGCAGAAGGGCTTCTATTTTTGCTCTCTGTCCTGTCAGACCATCACCTACAAGGGGATGCTGACCTGCGGCCAGCTGGCCCAGTACTTTCCCGACCTCCGCGAGCCCGACTTCGAGGCTCACGTGGCGATTGTGCACTCGCGCTTCTCCACGAACACGTTCCCGTCATGGCAGCGAGCCCATCCCTACCGCCTCCTCGCGCACAACGGGGAGATCAACACCATCAAGGGCAACACGAATTGGATGAAGGCCCGCGAGGCGCTCATCAGCAGCCCCATGCTGCCCAACATCGAGGATACGTTTCCCCTCTTCCACGACGACCAGACCGACAGCAGCCAGTTCGACAACATCATGGAGGTAATCGCGCTGGGAGGCCGTTCCCTCGCGGAGGTGGCCATGCTGATGGTCCCCCAGGCATGGGAGAAGACGCCGTTCATCACCGACAAGATGCGCGACTTCTACAAGGTTCGAGAATTCGCAAATGGCATGAAGACAAGCTTTCGACGGTCCGCGCGGATTTCTTGGATCTGCGCTGGACCCCCCTGCCTGGCTCGCGGAGCGCTCCAGGGGCGGCGCCGGTGGCGCCGCCAGGGAGGGGGGCGCGCAGCGCAGATAAGTTTTTCGTGGGCTTGTTTTGGCAGCCTTCCTGGGGCCTGCCTGACGGATCTGTTCGACTCTGGTTCGAAGCCAGCTCGACTCCAGCTCGACTCGAGCTCGACTCAATCTCGACTCAGGGTGGAATGAAGTCGACGCACGCTCGACGCAGCATCGACGCATGGGTGGAGCGCGTGGCTCCAGCAAAGCCCCCAGAGCGAGCATCTCAGCTCTTTGCTTCGCCAGAGGTGCAGGCGGCGGTCATGGAACCGTGGGACGGGCCTGCGCTGCTCTGCTACACCGACAGCAACACCGCGGGCGCGTGCCTGGACCGCAACGGTCTGCGGCCCTGCCGCTACTACATCACCAAGGACCACCGCATCATCTGCGCCTCGGAGGCGGGCGTCATCCCCTCGGTGGAGCCCGCCGACGTGGTGATCGGGCGGGGGGCCAGCTGAGACGAGGGCCGCTGTTTTGGCCGTCGGGTGGCCCCTTCGTCGCCACGGCTGGACGCAGCTCGGAAGACGGGTGCGTTTGGACCCCGGGAGGGGTCCGGGGACCGACTTTTGGAGAGGATTGGTTTATGCCGCCATGGGCGCACCGCCGTTTTTTCTCGACGGCGCTCCCCCGAGGTGAAGAAGGGCCGGCTGCAGCCAGGCCACATCATCTCCATCGACTTCAAGGAGCACGGAGCAGAAAGACGCTAGTCGACGCGAAATCGACGCAAATCGACGTTCAAGCCGGCGCTTTCTCGTCGATTGCCAACCGCTAGCGCGGACCCAAGGACGGAGTTGCGACGACATGCGCTGCTCCCATGAGCTGCTATCGAACTTAGGCGTTCGAAGCTCCGCGCGGACTTCTCGGATCGGCGCTGGGCCCCCCGGCGGCGCCTCCGGCGCCGCCCTCGGCGCGCCCAGCGCGCCAGAGAGGCGGGCCCAGCGTGGATCCAAGACATCGGCGCGGAGCTCTGACAATTCCTGTTTATATAGATTTTTCTCCGCGGCCGCCCTGTTCGACTAGACGTAAGAGTGACCTTTCGCCGAAGTGACCTTGGGGGCGGGCCAAATGGGGTCCCCCGATCGCCGCGCTCGTTGCGATATTAGCGTCTTGCGCGCTTGTGTTTGACCACCTTGCGCCCCCCAAAAAGCTGCGCACCAAAGGTCACTCTTACTCAGGGTCACTCTTACGTGCAGCCGACCTGTCCGTCTCAGGCTCCCCCCCTGCACGTTGGGCAATTCGCCCTCCGGTGGCCCCGTGCGGCCCGGCCGCTGGTGCAGCAGTTCTGCCTCGCCGCCCGCGGGCAACAGTTTGTGTAGTCTGTTCTCCCTCTGGAGGAGCACAGGGTGCTGTACAACGAGGAGGTCAAGGCGAAGATCGCGGACTCCCAGCCCTTCGGGAAGTGGATCCGGGAGGAGGGCATCACGCTGGCGGACCTGCGCAAGCACGCCGTGCGCCCGTCGAAGAAGTTCAGCTTCTCGCAGGCGCACGACCTGCGCGTGGCCAACGCCCTGGGCGCCGGCGGCGGCGACGACGGCCCCCGCCCAGGGGATCCCAGCGACCAGGGCCTGCGCGCCTTCGGGTACACGACGGAGTCGCTGGAGCTGCTCCTGCTGCCCATGGCGGACAAGGGCCAGGAGGCGCTCGGGAGCATGGGCAACGACACTCCGCTGGCCTGCCTGTCCGACCTGCCCAGGCCCGTCTACGACTTCTTCTACCAGAGGTTCCAGGCCTCCCAAGATGGGGTTCGAGCAGACGGGGTCGAAGGGCCGCGCCGCATCGCCGGTGCATCGGCGATGCGGCTCGCCCGATTCTGTCCACGTCAACACCGCCGATGCATCGCCGACATCGGCGATGCGGCGGGATCCTCCGGCCCCATCTGCTCGGACCCCGTTTGGGAGGCCTTCAGAGGTTCGCCCAGGTTTCCAACCCGCCGGTCGACCCCATCCGCGAGGCGAGCGTGATGTCCCTGAGCGCCTGGGTCGGGCCGGAGACGAACCTCCTGGCGCCCCTGTCCGCGAAGCACTGCCGCCGGTTGTGGCTCGAGAGCCCCTGCCTGCTCCCCGCGGACATGGACACCGTCTACGCCATGGGCGGCTTCCGGGGCTGGAGGATCCACTCCATCGATGCGACGTTCCCGGTGGGCGAGGGGACCCGGGGCCTGGAGCGCCACCTGATCCGCGTGTGCCACGAGGCCTGCGACGCCATCCGCTTCGGGAGCTGCAAGATCCTGGTCCTCACCGACCGCGCCGTCGCCCGCGACCGCGCGCCCCTGCCGGCGCTGCTGTGCTCTGGCGCCGTGCACCAGGCCCTGGTGCGCGAGAAGCTCCGGCTGCACGCCGGACTCGTCGTGGATTCCGGGGAGCCTCACGAGGTGGCGCACCATTGTCTGCTCGCGACCTTCGGCGCCGACGCGGTGTGCCCGTATAACGCCTACGAGGCGATCTCGAAGCTCGTCCGCGACGGCAACCTGTCCTCCAGCATCCCAGAGACGGAGCACTACAAGAACTACCAGAAGGCTGTTGGCGCTGGCATGCTGAAGGTGCTTGTCAGAAACACAGATGCACAGACATCCTCTAGTGGATTGGTCCTGGGCCTCAGGGGAGGGTGGCGGTGTACAAATCACCACCAAGAGCCAACGACTTTCTACACCGCTATAAATGGAGGCACAGGGGAAACTCGTCGCTGGGTGTCAGGGTATACAGTCAGGAGCTTTGGCTTGGCGTGTCGCCCCGCCGTTTCTGGCCCACCGCGCTTCGGCGCGACATGCTATCCAAGTCTCGGTTCCAGGCGTCAACGTCCTGAGCTCCTTTCTCCCAGCCTCCTGCCCCGCGGAGCGGAGCGACAGGCTGTCCGCTCGCATGACATAGCGTGTCGCCGGGGCGGCCGCCGCGACACGCTGAGCAAATATTCCAGACAGTTTTGTTTCGTGGCGTGAGGTGATGGCGAAGATGGGCATCTCGTGCATTCAGAGCTACAAGGGCGCGCAGATCGCCGAACCCATCGGCCTGCACGAGGACGTCACCCGGATGTGCTTCACGGGCTCCGACTCGCAGGTCGGCGGCCTGGTCTTTGCAGACATCGCCGAGCGCACCCTACGGCTCCACGCCAGGGGCTTCCCCGTGACGGTAAACCCAAGCGACATGCTCACCACGGGCCTTTACAACGACGGCATTCGAAGAACAACAATTGCATAAACGCGACCTTTTGGAGCTCCGCGCGGGTTTCCCGGGTCGGCTCCTGGGTCCCCCCCGGCGGCGCATCCGGCATCGCTCTTGGCGCGCTCCGCGCGCCAGGGAGGAGGGTCCAGCGCCGATCCAAGAAACCCACGCGGACCTCCGAAAGTTATGTTTATGCAGTTTGTTTGTTCCTCCAGGCAAGTACCACCTCAGGCAGCTCGGCGATTCGGAGCTGCACCTGAACGAGCCCATGGCCATCGCGAAGCTCCAGGAGGCCGCCCGGACGAATTCCCGCGCAGCGTACGCCCAGTTCGCGGCAATCCACAACAAGACCAAGACGAAGGGGTCCCTGTGCGGGCAGCTGGAGTTCCGCAGCCCAGAGGAGTACGACAGGAAGGCGCTGAGTATCGACGAGGTGGAGTCGGCGGCGAGCATCGTGAAGCGGTTCAGGACGGGGGCCATGTCGTACGGCTCCATCTCGATGGAGGCGCACGCCACGCTGGCCATGGCGATGAACAAGCTGGGGGGCAAGTCGAACACTGGCGAGGGCGGCGAGGACCCCCTGCGCTTCCGGGAGATGGCGGACGGGCATTCGGCCAACTCCGCCATCAAGCAGGTCGCGTCGGGCCGCTTCGGCGTGACGATCCAGTACCTCACGAACGCCAGGGAGATCCAGATCAAGATGGCGCAGGGCGCCAAGCCTGGGGAGGGAGGGGAGCTGCCCGGGTGGAAGGTGGAGCCCCACATCGCCGAGTGCCGCAACAGCACCCCGGGCGTCGGGCTGGTCTCACCGCCGCCGCACCACGACATCTATTCCATCGAGGACCTGGCGCAGCTCATCTACGACCTCAAGAGCGCGAACCCGGAGGCCAGCATCAGCGTCAAGCTGGTCAGCGAGCAGGGAGTCGGCGTCGTGGCGGCTGGGGTTGCCAAGTGCAAGGCCGACCACATCTTGATCTCCGGCTGCGAGGGCGGCACGGGTGCCTCGAAGTGGACGGGCATCAAGCACGCGGGGGCGCCGTGGGAGCTCGGCCTCGCCGAGAGCCACCAGACCTTGGTCCTCAACGGCCTCCGCGGGAGGGTCTCGCTCGAGACCGACGGGCAGCTCAGGACGGGGCGCGACGTGATCATCGCCGCCCTCCTGGGGGCGGAGCACTTCGGCTTCGCCACGGCCCCGCTGATCGCCATGGGCTGCATCATGATGCGCAAGTGCCATCTGAACACGTGCCCTGTGGGGATAGCCACCCAGGACCCCGTGCTCCGGGCCAAGTTCGAGGGGCTCCCCGAGCACGTGGTGAACTATCTGTTCATGATCGCCGAGGAGGCGCGCCAGCTCATGGCCAAGCTTGGCTTCCGCTCCGTCGACGAGCTAGTCGGCCACACGGAGGTCCTGACGGTGAACCCGACGAGGTTCTTCGAGACGCCGTTGGTCCTGACGAAGCTCCTGACCCCAGCGCACATGCTCCCGGACGCCGGCAGCATCGGCAAGACCGAGAACCGCAAGATGTACGAGCAGGACCACTCGGACATTTTGCCGCCGGGCTGCGTGACGGCAAAGCTCATCGAGGCCTTCCAGGGCACGCTGCAGACTGGCAAACCCTCCAAGCACACGATCACAGGCGTGCGCAACCTCGAGCGCTCCGTGGGCACCGTGCTGGCGAGCAGGCTCTGGGCAGCGCTCCAAGATGCGCTTTCTCCATGCTTGCACTTCGGCCTCGTGCCTTTCTTCTAATAGGGGGCCACATGTGAACCCTACCCCTACCCCCCACGATTTCTGAGGGGGAGGGTGGGGTTCACTTCGCTCGGGAGCTCCCGTGCCGTGTGCCGGTCCCGCCGGCTCGTGGCCGCCCGTCGCCGCCCGTCGCCACCGCCCGTCGCCTCCACGTGCGCCCGGTGTTGGTCCGGTCCGGTCGGCCTGTAGCCGCCCGTCGCCGCCGTCCGTCGCCGCCATCTGCGCCGCTCTGCTCTTTTCGTTGCGTGGCACGGCCCTGCAGTGCTCTGCTCAGGAGGGGGAAAAACACACAGACACAATTAATCCTCGATCCCCAGGAAAATATGGGAAAACATGGGGAACCCAAGAAAATATAGGAAACTATGGGGAATGCTTTTATTTGTGTGTATTCATTTGTGTGTTTGTGGGCCCCTTCATCTGCGCCACACAGGCTGCGCCACATGGGTTTAACCACCTGCAGTCAACCCGCCCAGGGAGGATGGGCGGCCTTCCCAAGGGCACCCTTGCATCCTTGCCCCCTCGGCCCATGCTCGGCGGCTTTCGCTGGCCAGCCTCGTTCGAAGAGCGTGCACATGAGCCTCCAGGGCCCTCGCATCCTTACCGCGCATCCTTCTGATACGGGTTGGCCGTAGATGGCACCGCAGCCATTGCACTTGGCATCGCTCGGACGTGTGCATTTTTCCTTCGGCGTGGACCTTCGAGGAGCATTCTCGACCATCTGGCGAACAAAAACACGCACTAAACCGAAAAAAACACAGGAAATGGACGTCCGAGCGATGCCCAGTGCACCGTGTAGCCGGCACCGCACGGACCTCGCAAGCGTTCGCTGCTCTGGGCCCACGCTGGCGGACACACGGCGCGCGTGCTCGTCGGGCCCCCCCCGCAGGGGCGGCGCGCTTGTTCTGAAAGATCTCTCGCAGGGTCTGCGCTCCGTGGCCGGCACCTGCTCGCAGGGACCGTTCGGGGAACGACGTGTACCGTAAGTCGGAGGTAGATAGACCTCCTACCCTGACACGTCGATTACGGAATTGGCCGTTTTCGGTTCACGAGGGGGCGTCGCGGCCGTCTTTTTTGCTGGTCCAGGTCTGTCGGTTTCGGTCCCAGGCCGTTTTCACTAAGGGGAGGTTTACTAAAGGGAGGTTTGTCCACCGCCTAGTAAGATCCGCCACAGAAGATATACCGACACCTTTTTGATGTTCAGGAGGGATATTCCAAACATAGTCAAGAAATAGTCTGGGGACGACTTGGAGCATTTATGAACATTTTGGGAGTTTTTTTTTGTTTTTTGCCACAACAGATATACCGACACCTTTGTAATGTGAAGTCGGGCCTGTCCCTCTACAGGAGGAGTATTCCAAACTAGTCAAGAAATACATTCTGGGGACGACTTGGAGCATTCATGAGCATTTTGGGAGTAATCTTTGTATATCTTTTGGATTTTTCGCCCGAAATCCGCCAGTAGGGGGACACGCCCGGCTTCATTTTAATGTTTTTTTTTCCTGGGCCTCGGGGGTGAGTGGCGGTGTATCAATCACCACTGGTAGCCAGCGACATTCCACACCGCCACCCTCATGCAAAGTTCGTCGGAGCGTGTCTGTGTGTATATCTACACATACATAGACCTGTAGGCATCTATCCCGTGATCTGCCATGCGGAGCTCCGTGCGCATCTCCGTGCGCCCTTACAGCAGAGTGTGCTTTCGGAGCTCTGTGCGGATGTCTTGGATCGGCTCCTGGCCTCCCCTGGCGGCGCCTCCGGCGCCGCCACTGGCGCGCTCCGTGCGCCAGGGAGTGGGGCCCGGCGCCGTTCCAAGAAATCCGTGCGTTGTTCCGAAGGTTTATGTTAGTGCAGTTTTTTTTGCCCCCATATCCTACAGCGTATGTCACAACGCATGTCTAAGGTTCATGCCACCAATGCGACGCCTCCGCCTCCTCACTCCTGCCACCTTCTCCCTCTCGTCACTCTCAGATCACCCATGCTCAGACTCACTCACACTCAGACTCACTCACAGTCAGCACGCTCAGCTTAGTCAGAGCAGGTTGTGAGGGGATTTCTGGAGCGAGGCGCTCGTTTTAATTAGCATGCCAAGGGGGGAGCCGCCAGGGGGCGTTACACTCGCCCGTTCGCGGCCGGAGTGTCGGGAAGTCTCGGGCGGTTTGCTCGTTTCATGGCCCGCGCTCTTTGCTCTTGGAGCAGATCGTCAGGATGTCCCTCGCGAGGCGCTCGCTCTGGCACCGCCGCCAGGGGGCGTTACACTCGCTCGTTCGCGGCCAGAGTGTTGGGATGTCTCAGGCGGTTTGTTCGTTTCATGGCCCGTGCTCTTTGCCTTTGGAGCAGATCGTGAGGATTTCTCGAGCGAGGCGCTTGTTTGAGTGTTCCGAGGGGGAGCCGCGAGGGGTGTCACACACGCCCGTTCGCGGCCAGATTGTGGGCATGTCTCAGGCGCCTCTGACTCTTCTTTTATGAGAGTACCATCATCACCGCGATGTAGCAGGCATGGCCCCAGGGGTATTGCACTTGCCAGCTCGCGCCCAGATCGTGGGATTTCTCAGGCGAAGCGCCGGCTTAGACATCCTCGACTTCTCTCCTGTCACAGTCCCCGCGCTTTCCCGATGTAGCTGGCATCGCGGCTGGGTGCTCCGAGGGAGAGCCGCCTGGGAGCGCTCAGTCGCCACCGACCTAGACTCTCTCACCCGGACGCGCACAGACGGGAGTGCTAGGAACTGAGATGCACCGCACGAGCCACGCAAGAAGACGGGGTCGTCTGCGCCGACATCCGCGCGCAAGCTGCCTGCGAAAGGTCGCGCGTAGGCGCCCTCGTCTCCAATCTGGCGTGCCGCGCCGGCGGCCCGCGTAAGCCGCGGCGTGAGGTCGCCGTGCCATCTCGCGCAAGACTCGTTTTTTTCAATCGTCGCACACATGGGGATCTCCGCGTCCCATCATTTCTCCTCTGCAGGCTCTGCAAGAAGTGGGGCGACTCGCTGGCGGCGGGCGCCTGCCACGCCAAGCTGGAGGGCACGAGCGGCCAGTCCTTCGGCGCCTTCTGCGGCAAGGGCATCTTCCTGGAGCTGGAGGGCGACGCGCAGGACTACTTCGGGAAGGGCCTCAGCGGCGGCGTCGTCGCCGTCTACCCGGACAAGAAGGCGATGGACAGCGGCTTCAAGTCGGAGCAGAACGTCATCGTCGGCAACGTCTGCCTGTACGGCGCGACGAAGGGCGCGGCCTTCGTGCGCGGCATCTGCGCGGAGCGCTTCGCGGTCAGGAACAGCGGCGCGTGGGCCGTGGTCGAGGGCGTCGGGGACCATTGCTGCGAGTACATGACAGGCGGCCGCGTCGCGGTGCTCGGCATCACTGGCAGCAACTTCGCCGCCGGCATGAGCGGCGGCGTCGCGTGGGTGTGGGACCCGAAGTTCCAGGCGATTGTTGTTTTTAGGGCGCGGCGATAACCCAGGTTATCGGCCCGCCCGCCCCCCTGGATAACCTGACCTTGTCGGGTGCGCGGGTCCGAAGGGGGTGCGCAGTACTGGTGCGCCGCAGAAGTGGGGCTGCCCAAAGCGAGAAGGTAAGGTTATTGGCCGTTACCATTCCCCCACCGAGCGCGTTCCACTACTCGCAAAGTGCCTACTCGCAAACGTCCAAAAACAAACAGGTCTTCCTCGATGTAATGTATTGTAAATCCCCCGCGGCGCATCAAGGCTATTTGCGAGTAGTTACTTTGTGAGTAGTGAAACGCGCTTGCCCATTCCCCCCAACGGATAACCCGGGTTCTCTCAGAAAAAAACGATCTCCAGTTCGAGAGGAACGTGAACATGGAGATGGTGAAGCTCACTCGCATGGCCGCCAGCGAGCGCCACGAGGCCTATCCGCGGGACGCGGAGGACTTGCAGGAGCTGCTCAGGGCGCACTCGAGGCTGACCGGCAGCTCGGTCGCGGGCGACATCCTCGCCAGGTGGCCCCAGTCGTTGCCCGAGTTCGTGCGTGTGTTCCCAACGGACTTCGAGGGGGCGATGCTCAAGGGCGACAAGGGCGAGGCCGACTCGGAGAGGTTCAGGTCCTGGCTGCCGCAGGCCGACGTTTCCATGGAGCCGCCCAGGGCGCAGGAGAACGGGAAGGCCGAGAAGGACACGTTCAAGTTCCCCACCCTCGACATCGAGGACTGTGCCACCCTCTCCAAGCGGCCGAAAGTCGACGTGGAGGAGGCCCTCAAGGGCAACAACGGCTTCGTGAAGTTCTCCAGGGCCGAGATCGCGAAGCGCGACGTCAAGGCCCGCGCCGGGGACTTCGTGGAGATCTACAGCCACGAGGACAAGCAGGCGGTGCGGACACAGGCCGCGCGGTGCATGGACTGCGGCACCCCCTTCTGCCACCAGTCCGTGACGCAGCGGTCGGGCTGCCCCCTCGGCAACCTGATCCCCGAGTGGAACGCGCTGGTGATCGAAGAAGAAATCGCACCCTTGCGGCAGAAGACCCCAAAACAGCAAAATCAAGTAGACCAACAGTGATAGTAATTCACATCCTAACGATACCACTGGGGGAAGACACGGGAGGGTCAAGGCGCCCGACCGATTCCGACCGATCCCCGTATTTCGCGTCTTCGAGACGCAAGTTGTAGGACCCCTGACGGGCTGTCTGGTGCCTGTGGGCAGCAGGAGCGTACACCTTCGGGGCTCCTCGCGGGCTCCCTGGATCAGCGCCTGGGGCCCCCACTGGCGGCAGGGCCCAGCTTTGATCGAAGAACTTGCGCGGAGCTCCGACAGGTTTCGGCGTCACCCCAACATACTTATACTGTATATGCGTCGCCCCCCCCAGGGGCGACGCGCGCACCGAGAAATCTTATAGTGTATGCGTCGTGGCGGGCGCTTTCTGGCCACACCGCTCGGGAAATGATCTACTACAAGATGGGTATACTATATGTTCGGGTCGGACGCGCGCCTCCAAGGAGGACATTTAGTATTAGTATGTCTCTGTGCGTCCCGGGTTCTGTTTATGATACCGTGGATGGAAGCAATTAGCGCGAAGCTGGTTCGCAACGTGATACTTTCGCCATTCAGAGTCCGCGGGTTCCGAGCGGGGCACGATCCGCGGCCGCCGCCGAAGATGCAAAAGACACACGCGAGCCACGAGTGCAGGTGTTCGAGCCCCGAATCGTCGTGGCCCGGACTGCATT